AAATTGGACTTTAAACTAAAATCAGTCAAAAGAGATGAAGACGGTCATTTCCTCCTCATCACAGGAGAAAACCATCAGGATGAAGTCTCAATTCTGAACATTTATGCCCCAAATACAAAGGCATCCACGTTTGTAAAAGAAACTTTACTAAAACTCAAATCACACATAAAACTGCACACACTTATAGTGGGAGATTTCAACACCCCACTCTCACCACTGGACAGGAACATCAGACAGAAACTTAACAAAGAAACAAAAGAACTAATAGAAGTTATGGCACAATTGGACTTAACAGATATCTATAGAACATTCCACCCAAATACAAAACAATTTACCTTCTTCTCAGCGCCACATGGAACCTTCTCTAAAATCGACCACATACTTGGCAACATAGCAAACCTCAACAAGTACAAAAAAATTGAAATAATCCTCTGTGTCTTATCAGATCACCATGCTTTAAAATTAGAATTCAACAACAACAAGAACTACAGAAAACCTACAAACTCATGGAAATTAAATAACACCCAATTGCACAATTCATGGGTCCAGGAAGAAATAAAAAAAGAAATTAAAGATTTCCTAAAATTCAATGAGAATGCGAACACAACATATCCAAACCTATGGGATACTCTGAAAGCAGTGCTAAGAGGAAAGTTCATAGCGCTAAATGCCCACATGAAGAAACAGGAGAATAATCACACTAGAGACAGCTAGGGCTGTTACACAGAGAAACCTTGTGTGTGTGTGTGTGTGTGTGTGTGTGTGTGTGTGTGTGTATGTATATGTATATGCAAAAAGTTAAATATGGCTGAAAATTGATAAACAAGCATGAATAAAATGATGAACCAAACAAACTATTTAATGTACCTAATAATAAGGTTCATTACAAGGAGAAATTACCTTTATAAATACAGTGGTATTTACATTCTCTAAAGTAGCACTGAGCCTACCTGCGTCTTTAAGATTTCAAAGGAAAACACCCTGACCCAGCAGCTCACTCATTTTATCATTGTTCTGTGAGGGCCACAAGGCAGGGAAATAACCGCAAAATCCTAAGGCTCACAAAGTTAAAATATTTACTCTCTGGTTCATTGCAGAAAGTTTGCTGACCTTTGACCTCAAACATTAGAAATTATGATAAACAAGTCTGATATAAACAATTTTTAAATTACAGAACGCTTCAGATTCCAGCAGTATTCACACACACACACACACACACACAAAAAAAAAAACTCTCTCTCTCTTTCTCTCTCTCTCTCTCTCTCTCTCTCACACACACACACACACACACACACACTCTCTCTCTCTCTCTCTCTCTCTCCTGGGAGGAAATATTAGCAGAGTCTAATGTGTTATGCAAACATAGGAACTGTAGTTAGATTCAAAACAAGACGCAAAGTCGGGCATTGGTGGCGCACGCCTTTAATCCCAGCAGGACCTCTGTGAGTTCGAGGCCAGCCTGGTCTCCAGAGCAAGTGCCAGGATAGGCTCCAAAGCTACACAGAGAAACCCTGTCTCGAAAAACAAAAACAACAACAACAAAAAAGCAAGAGTCAGAAATAATCACCTTTTTGCTTTCTTGAGAGAACAGGGCTGCATGAGGAACCCCCTCCAGCTGTAAATCACAGAAAGAGATAAAAAGAAAGTGAGATAACAAGCTGCTAAAATCTGTAAGAAATTTTTTAAAAGTCTTCAAAAAGCTTGACTCAAATCCTAAAACAGTGGGTATATTGACATTTACCTAAGACATGCTTAAACACCATAGGTCACACTTTAAATGTGAAATTACACTCAAGTATAAATACAGATTTCAAAGATACCACTAAAATGTCAAAAGAGCTCGTGTAAATTGCATTTTAAACAATTTAAAACTCTAAGTTCTTACATTATTTGGTCAATCAGCAGTCAGATATAAGCTTTCATTGGAGACAGTTACTAGAGATGTGTATTTCTGTTCACTGGTCATACGTACAACATGCTTTCCACAAAAATAATTCTTCAGTGCCAAGAACAACAGAAAAAAATATTTTCTGCTCATAGTCCAGGCAAACATTTAAACTCACAAGGCCAATCAGATTTCCCATGCAGAAGGTCTCTGGTTTGTAGCTACAGTTAAGCCTGGCTCCTCAATGTGCATACTGTGGAGGACATGGCAAGCCAGGGTCAGCAGAATTTATCAAAGCCTGCTAAATGCCAAGTCACTTCTGGAGGCCGGCACACACAGATACCTGTCTGTCCCACCATCCAAGGATAGTTCATGTCAGACAGGCTGCTACTTCCTACTCTAGAGCCCAAACTCTTTGAACATCAAGAACAGAGAGCAAGCTAGGGAGGTGTCTGCAAGGACTGGGAATGGAAGGGGCAGGACCCAAGGAGAAAAACAATGCTAAATCCCTCCCCCCTCCAAAAGACATACAAATCTATACCTAAAGATTCATCTCTGACAATCAAACATGAGAGTCCTGGAAATACTCTGCCTAATATTTCTACATCACTGTACCTAAAATTCAGGTGACAAGCCAGGGAGTCAGGAGACTAGGCTTTAATTCTCTCATCTAGCTTTCTAAACCGTAGATTTATGTGCAGAAGAAGATGCCTACATTGTAAGTTTGGGGCAGGATGGCTAAACTTAGGCATGGATGGCTAAAGCATAAAGCAAAAGAAGGAAAAAAGCATTACTGCACCGGTGGTTAGAAGACCTTACTGAGAACGCACCTAAAAGTTCCACAATGCTCCCGCTGCGGCCTCGGCCCCTGGCCTCCTCTTGAACCACAGTGAGCTGCCCAAGACCACCTGGTGTGGTCAGTGCTTGTAGCAGTTCAGGGGGAGGAGTACGGAAGAGCTGCTGCAAGAGCTCCAGTGCCCCTGTCACCACATTGTGGTCTTGGTGCTGCGTGTGATGCAAAGTCAGTTCATAAACCTACGAGTAGAAATATAGGTCTTCATTCATGTTTCAAATGCACTCCAGATTTCACTTTGTTTTCATTGGCTTTTGTTGGCAAAGCTATGCCTTAATTTTTCCCTCCAAAGACCTCTTTATCACATATAGGGTTGTTATTGTCCACTATATTTTCTGAATTCCCATGATTTATCATTTCTATTAACTCCTTGGAAATACATAGAGCACTTCCTCTAGCACAGCAGTATGCTAACTCAGGATCTCCATTTTCCAAAACTGATGAGTAGGAAAGAGAATAAAACCAATAAACACTGCTGAGGAAGCATGTGGGGACATCCAACCATCAAAAACATAGTTCTGAATGCCAGGGAGAAAATAGCCAGAAATTTTAAGGATGTCAGTCAGATTTTCTTGGTGTTTCAGTAACACCACACTACAGAAGTGAGTTTGTCAGTTTTCTCTTTAAAGTAACGAGGGGAAAAGAGCCCACAGGTCTAAATTGTAATTTCAAATAACACATAAGTTAACAGTATAAATATATCCTGAGCAATTTCAATCATACTTACAAAATCACTATTTAAATCAAAGTTTGCCAACCCTATCATTAGTTGATATAAACACAAACAAACCAAAAAAACACCCATACATTTCGTTTTTTGAAAGTCAGTGTAGAAGAAGAAAAACCAAAGAGCAAAGCTTCCGAGGAAGTTGCCTTTAAACTTTGACTTTAGCTCTTCAGATGCAACCTGCACACCCAAATCCTGACTGGCAAACTGTGAGCCACAGTCACATCTAGCGTTATTCTTGCTCTTCACTCCCCATTTTGGTTTTTTTGAGCCCTGGTCTCATCGTGTAGCTATGAATATCTTGGATTTCCTCTAAGGCCAGGCATGCAGTGAACTTGTACTTGTCTGGCCCCACTCTACTACTTTTTGAGACAAGGCAACAGTGACATAGTACTTCCATTTTACCCAGGACCAGGCTGACAAACAGAGGCCACAGACTACAGGTCAATCTTGTAGTCTGCAGCATGTACACATTATTTGACTTGTGGGTGGCCCTCATGTAAGTGCAAGGTTAGGTCACTCTTACCTGGACAAGCTGCTCTGTAGAAGGAGAGACTTCCATTTCTTTCCGTGTCACCCCAAAGCTGCCTTTTAGACTTGTGTCCTTGACCTGCTGCTGGAGCAAGGGCACTAGACACCTCAATGTGAGTAGCACACCAAGGATCAGGAGAGTGGAATGTTCTTCCTCTACAGGAACCAGCAGACCTGCAAAGGCAGCCAAAGGAGCTTAACAGCCAGCCCACTGTTGGAGAATATTATTTTAACTAGGCAAAGATGTTTTACATTTGTTTATGCTGCAGAATATTACTTTAACTGTGTAAAACTGTGTTACTTTTGTTTATGCTGCATTTGTTTAATGATGTAAGGATGTGCATTTAATTATGTAAAATGTGTTACATGTTTTCACCTTCCTGCCTAAGGCACCTGATTGGCCTAATACAGAGCTGAACAGCCAATAACTAGGCAGAGAAGGGATAGGAGGGGTTGCTGGGCAGATAGAATAAATAGCAGGAGAAATCTAGGCTCAAGATCAGGAAGAATGAGAGAGAAGGAGAGAATGAGGGACATGCCAGAGCAAGAAGCCAGGCAGACACTAGCCAGCAGATTTGAGAAGCAGTGAAAGTAAGATATACATAAGAAAGGTAATAAGCCCCAAGGTAAAAGGTAGATAAATAAACAGGTTAAAATTTAAAGAGCTAGCCAGGGGCTGGAGAGATGGCTCAGTGGTTAAGAGCACCAAGTGTTCTTCCAGAGGACCCAGTTCAATTCCCAGTACCCACATGGCAGCTCACAACTGTCTGTAACTCCAGTTCCAAGGGACCTGACACTCATGGGAGAAAAACCAATGCACATAAAAATAAATAAAAATAAACAAATAAAAAAAGAGCTAGCCAGAAAAGAGCTAAGCTAAGGTTGAGCATTCAAAATAATAAGTCTCCATATCATGATTTTGGAAACTGGTTGGTGGCCCAAGGAAAAAGCCTGATACAGTCCACTGTTCAAAGAACCACAGTTCCCACTAGTAAAAAGGGAGACCTACAAGAGTACCCTATTGTAAGTCTGGCAGTTAAAGGGAAAGGTGGCATAAGCAAGACTATGAAACACAGGCTATGTGTATACCCAGATCAAGGAACAGCTTGGCAGCATAAAACATGCTCTTTGCTTGACAAGACCCTCACAGAAAATAGAACCGTATTTCAGAGTCAAATGGTTGTATCAAATGTCACATGGTCACTCCAGCAGGATTTGCTAGCATAGACTTTTATTTTGACAGCAGCCAAAAATGAAAGGGAAAATGTTGGTTTCCCTAGAGTACCCACAGAGGGCTAAAACATAGCCTCAGGCCTCTTAAACAGAAGGCCAGGCCAGCAAGGTGATGTCCTAGGGCACAGCTATAGCTGAAAAGACACCAAGACCATCTATGGGCTTGCAGCATCCCCTACAAAATTCACATTTAGCAGTCAGCAGCTATGAATGGCCTAGTTAAGATGCCAAGGGTTAGTTTACTTTAAAGGATTGAGCACATGCTGAGACTAGGTCACTTGATCCTCTCTCTCTTACCTAGGAGCACATTTAGGAGCCAATTGTAGAAGTATTGTGTCCTCCGGGAATGCTGGCAGATGCTCACTGCTGAGCCAGCTGCTGTCCGTCGGACAGTGGGAGAACTTGACTTCAGATTTGCTATGAAAGCTTTCAACAGAACCTGTAAAGGCAAAACCCAAGATGAAAGCCAAAGCTCCTGTAGAGCTTATGACACATTTCACAGAACTCCAAATCTTGTAGGACAAACTGTGACAAATTGGCACATTTTTCATAGATGAAAGGAAATATCCCAAATTTGAGGTAGTCAGTGTTTATCAATACAATCTATTTACTTCCTTATAAATTGCACTGGGAATGCTGTGAGATGCTCAAATGGTAAAAGCACTTGTAGCCAAGGTTGTGGCCTAAGCTCAATCCCCAGAACCCACATGGTAGGAGAGAACCAAATTGCATGCATCCACAGGAATAAGTGTACACTCAAAAGCACACGCACACACACAGATCAACCAACGTTTAAAAATCTGCATCAGGAAATTGCTAATTGTGAGTGGCAGTTTCAGTATTTATAGGTTTACTCACAGTATTCAAGGACAAAGGTGTAATAATACTACATAAAATAAAGTTAAAAAGAAAACAAAACAAACAAAACAAACAAACAAAAACCCTTGGGAATAATAAGGAAAAAGCATTAGACACTATAGTAAAAGTCTGCCCTAAGAATCACCTGCAACTGCTATACTAAAGTGTCCACCCAAGACTGGCACCTCTGTGAATGGAAGGCTGTAACTCATAGACAAGACAGTGTACCATGCACAACCTTCTAAGAAATCAGAGATAAGATGTTCTTGGTAACCTCCAAAATAAGTCCATACCATTTTTCTTGGTTCTTCCTCTTTCTTCCTTCATTTATTTAACTCTGTTTCTCTTGTTTGTTTTTCATTTGTTTTCATTGTTTTTCATTCCCTCCCTTATCTTATTCACTTACTACTTCCACACTTAGCCTAAATAACTGTTAACTTCAAAGCACATTCCATAATAGCCCTGCCATTTTCAGTTTCATGGCCACTAGTGATATATTAGTGGTTGCAATTGATTTTAAGTGTGCCTCTATACCTTGTATGGTTTGATGCTGCCAATATAGCACACAAGAAACAGAAGCAATATCCAAACCAATGGATGTGCTAATAGTAACAAAAACACACATAGGAATTATGAAAGGGGGAACACAGATTTACTCCTTTTCCTATGGACTTTCTTAGCCCTCGCTTCTAGCCCATCCCCATTCTTTTGTGTCAGCCTCTATACACAGAAACACTTTCTACCTGAGACACCCAGTGGCCATACAGGGAGAGCTGAGACTCAAATAGGAAACTTTCTCTCTCCTTCCTGTCTTCTATTACCATCTCTTCTGGCTTAACCCCAACCCCCAACTCTCCAGACACATTGTTTGTGCTACTACTGCCTACTTGAAGGAGTCCCTCCTCCCACCACGCATCCAGTTCCCCAGGATCCTGCTTCTTGGTGTGAACAGGATCCTCCAGTTCTGTGTGACAAAACAAGGATTTCATTCTCCTGAGGAAAAAGGGGTCTGCATACCAAAGGCATTTTTAGGAATACCAAATCCCAACTGCTTCCTGCTCACCCTTTGGAGGACAACACTAGTGTACAGGTTCCACCACAATGGGAGCAAACCTAGACAGAAAGACAGAAGCCAGGAAGAGGAGAGCAGCAAAGGAGTCTCCAGGATGACAGAACTGACAAACCCAGGAATCACTGGCCACATTGAGCAGGGGTGGAGAACTTCAGGGTGGTAACTGTCAGAGAAAATAGAACCAAAAAACTATCTAATGGGTAAGAGAAATAGCACTCATGTTTGAGAGGACAGAAATAGCCAAACTCCATGAGTTGTAAGATTCTTGGCATCGTTTTTATCTCTTTGGAAAATGGTTTATTTTAAAATTATTTATTTTATGTGTATGTGTGTTTTGTCTCTGTACTTAGTGTTCTCAGAAGCTAGAAAAGGTGTTGGATACCCTAGAACTAAAGTTATAGATAATTGTGAGCCACCATCTGGGTGCTGCAAACAGAACCTGGGTCCTTTCAAAGAACAGCCAGTGTTCTTAACCCCTGAGCCACCTCTCCAGCTTCTATCTTTTAAAATTTTTTAAAGGTAAGATTAGTTATTTGTGTGTAAGTGTATGTGCATGTGTATGTGGTTGCATGAGCCTATGTGTGCCCATGGAGACCAGGAGAAGGTCCTAGGTGTCCCTCTCTATCACTCTCTGCCTATTCTTTTTGAGGCTGAGTCTCTTCCTGAATCTGGGGCTTGCTCTTTCTTGGCTAGGCTAGATGCTAGTAAGCTAAAAGTGACTCTCCTGCATTTGTCCCCTTCAGAGCTGTTATTTAACCACACATGTTTTTTTCTCTGAGCTACTGTGATTTCCTGTTAATGCCCATGTGATGTTTAAAAAGATGATTTCATGGAGTTTGGAATGAGGAAGGGAGATGATGTGTCTTATCAGTTTGGCATACTACTGCTGTCACGGTCATTCTTCCCTCCTTGAGTGGTCAAAGCTCCTGAAAGGTTGCAGGAATGAGCACCGTGGAATACTCTCAGGAGTCTTCTCTGATAATTGCTGTCAGAGTCCAGGGACAGATACACATAGTGGCTAGTTCTGGATCTTCCTATGATATAGATGCTATCTGAGTAAGGTGACAATTCCCTTTCTTTTTTAATGGAGTAGTTACTATCTCCTTCATGAACCTTTGACATGTAAGAGATCTCTGGTCATTGCTGGGACCTAGAAACAGAGTACCATCCTTTCCTACTTGTCCTGGTCCTGTGTCAGAGGTAAGCTCAATAATCCTTATTTTGCTGGATTTGGATTTTTAAGTTTTACATTTATTTTTCAACTACAGAAGAGATGAACTTGGCTCTAACCCTTCTGTGCAACAAAATCTTGCTTTCTGGGCACTAGAAGCAAAAGAAAAGTCCTGGTGGCTTTACATCATCCATTCCCACAAGGCTGACCAGCTCTTCTTCACTCATTCCTATGTAGTCCTTTCTTCAGCTAGCCTAAGTGGTCAATCCAGTGCACCAAAACCCATTCACTCTGGGAAAATGCCTTTGAATTTGCATCTATCAACTATCTCCCTTGACTCTACTCCTTGACAGGAAAGGAGAAGTAAAAGGAAACTCTTGAGATGCCTCTAAATGAAGCCAACATGACACCAGAAGCAACCCCAATGACTGTCCCACCAGAGACCCTCAGCCCCTCAAGACTCATTCCTAGAGGCAGCAACCATACCTTAATTTCATTGTCATTGGCAAAATTTCCAAAAGAAGCCATAATTTTGGGAACAGCTGCAGCCAAGGTCTCCTGAACTGATTCTTCAGGTCTCTTGCTTGTTCGGGTCAGGCATGGAAGTAGGTTCACCAGGTAAGGCCTGAATGTGCAAGACGAATATTCATCATTCTTAAAAAACATATGCTCATGGTTCCCTGTAATGGAAAATCCAGTTTTATAGGTAGACTGGCCCTCAATAGAGACTACAATGCTCAACTACAAGCACGGGAGGCATAAATGCTGATAAAGTTCAACTGTCCTTCATCTCTCCTATAAGTTAGGAAGGACATTAAGAAGTTAGGTTTAGGGGCAAGCAAGATGGCTTAGTGGGTAAAGGCACCTGCCGACAAGTCTAAAGACCCAAGTTTGATCCCTGGGATCCACACAGAAAAAGAAGAGAATCGACTCCTGTAGGTTGTCCACTAACCTCATCCATATGGGATGGAACACATACAGAGACACACAAATAGAATGTAATTTAAAAGGTTGGGTTTAAATATTATTTGCAGCAAATTATAATTGTTAAAATATATTTTAAGTAGAAAACAACAGATTAAAGAAAATACTACTTTAAAAACAGAAACTGGAGGGAACCAAGGAGAGAGCTTATGCAGCAAGCACAGGAGATGAATTTGATCCCCAGCATCCATAAAAAAGCCAGACATAGTGAGCTCCCTGCACTTGGGAGGCAGAAACAAGTAAATCCCTGAGGTTAATTATTGGCCAGCTTAGCCTCATTAGCAGATCCCAGAACAGTCAAAGACAATCTCAAAAAACAAGCTGGACAGCTCCTGAGGATCAACAACCAGGAATGACACCTCTGACCTCTCTACATTACAGGAAGTGGCACACACCCTTAAACAATAACATTTTAAAAACAAAATATGGACATCATTTTACTGAAAAAGTAGTGTTTAAAAACTACTATGGGCTGAGTGGTGGTGGCACACACCTTTAATTCCAGCACTCAGGAGGCAGGAGTTTGAGGCCAGCCTGGTCTACAGAGCAAGTTCCAGGACAGCCAGAGCTGTGCACAGTGAAACCCTGTCTCAAAAAACGAAAACAAAACAAAACAAAAAGAAAAAAACAAAAACCCTACTGTGGGATAGCTGTTTCCTCCACACTTAATATGACCATCATTATGAAGCAAAACAGCTGTGGTGACTTACAGGGAGAACTTGGAGCAACAGGCATGACAGTAAAATAAAGAGAACTATAGAGTAGTTACCTAGGTCTTTGGAGCTGTTACCATTCCCTTTTAGAGAAGAGAAAAAAGGTCATAAGACCCTCAAGATTCTAATTACCTTTGTGACACACATATACATAACCTTACAGGTACTAAGGTATGGAAAGGGCAAACTGGAGGTGAGACATCAATGGTATAGCTGCCTATGAGTTGTCTATGCTCTTGCACACAACCAAATAAACCCATCAATTTGTCAAGCTGGACTTGATGGGACTTTTCTTTGATAAGCCAGCTCCTTTTGATTAGAAATCAATACAAGTTTCTTTTATGCTCCCCAGGAAAGCTGCTCAATCTCTGGGGGGGGAGGGTGTTCAAATTAAATGAGGCCTTCAAACAACAACCCAGTCCTTAGAGAGAAAATGATGTATATAGTAGGAGGACTGAGAAAAGAGACATGGCTGACATTGGGGTGCCTGCTATAAGGCTGTCTTATGTAGCAGGCAGGCTTACAGATAGTACAGCCATCTTTATGAGGCAGTCATCTGTGACATCTTGAAATATACTGGACAAAAAAAGCCTAGGAAGCGTGAATTAAGGAGGGGACAATTTTTCTGAGATGTGAAGCCATTATGAGGAAAAGAAAACAGATTTGTTTGGAGAGCTAAAATCAGACCATGAGTCAATATAATATGTCTGAGGTAATGAGCTAGCAGAGGGTTAGCAGAGGCTAGATTGTCCCTTGCCTTGAGCGAGACATCTAGACTATCTGACAGCACTAGGGAATAATTAAGAGGGTTTAAGGAAGAGAATGACAGGACAGTCACACTTTTGAACAGCCCTTTGCTATGTTGTAAATCTGGGATGTATTGCTCAAAAATATTACAATTTTCAAAGTAAGACCACTTGAGCTGGAAATGAGGCTTGGTGGTAAAGTGCATACTTAAGTATGTCTGAGACCTATTCTCAGCACCAAAGCCAACACAAAAATACATACGTAAGCACAGTAAAAAGAAAGGTTCTATAAAAAGAAATCTATATGTGGCCAGTAAAATTCTTACTGAAACTAAACCTCAAATGAACCCATCATTGTTCCTTATAAATATGAAGATTTAGAACACTCTACCAGTTTCTCGTGGATAGAGCCTAGGGACTTTGGGACATGGGCAGTACATTTTTCCAGGTGAGGAGAAAAGGAAGGGATTGATAAAACTATAGTCCTGTTTTGTTACTCAAGCCAATAAGCCAAATGGGTGGGCTGAATAAGAGACTGGGTGGTAGAACAATTGCCTAGCATGCTTGAGGTCCTGGATTCAATACCTAGCACCATGGGGGTTAAGGGGTATCAACAAGTTAAAATTTTATGCGTTGTTCAACATTCGTTTCTCCAACCATGTGCTACACTCTGGTAGTTTGAATGTAATTGGCCCCCATAAGCTCACAGAGAATGGCACTATTATTGAAGTAGATGTGGCCTTGTTAGAGGAAGTGTTTCACTGTGGGGGTGGGCTTAGAGGTCTCACATATGTTCAAGCCATGCCCAGTGTCTCAGTTCACTTCCTGTTGACTTCCAATCAATATGTATAATTCTCAGCTCCTTCTCCAGCACCATGTCCCACCATGATGTAAGTGGACTGAATCTCTGAACTATAAACCACACCAATTAAGTGTTTTCCTTTATAAGATTTGCTGCCATCATGGTGTCTCGTCACAGCAATAGAAACTTAAGACATACACAAATGCTTATTTTTCAATAATTGCTATACTTGCTGCTGCTGAGATCAGATTCAATTTTCAATCATTTGGCAAGTATCTTTAACCAAAACATTGTGTGTACACCATATTCAGGTTGAGAATCCAACATAGACTAGGATGATGAGATCATGTTATTCTGAGGGGAACATCCCAAAAGTCTCTTGGGGAATGTTGGGCCAAGAAAGAAGCACATTAATGGAGTATATGCAAATATTTCTGCTAGAGATGGGTGTTAGGAAAGAAATATAAGAAAGGAACAGTAAATAGACAACTTAGAGGACAAGAATGATCTCTCAAGAGTAAACAACTGCACTGGGGCTTAAAAGACCAGCAGGACTAGCCATCTACCAAACAAATCTTAAAAATAATATAGGGATACAACATACCTGCATTTTTGAGGTCGAACCAGGTGAGCCAGCTCAGCAAACCTCCACAGGGCTGCACGCAAACTTCGAGGAGCACCATTCTGGGTGGGGTTTACAAGTGATGTGTTACATCTAAAAGTCACAAGCACTTTCTAAGATAGGTTTATTGTATTGGAGCTGCTTACATCCTCTTTTGGTGAGTTATTAAACATATTTTTTTCACTGTTAATTTTCAGAGAAAGGTCCAACTAATTGTGTAAAATAGCTGGTAACTACTTCAAAGATTTTTGAGGTTCAGCAGGCTTTATTTAGAAAAACATAGTTTATTTAAAATAGAAAGTTGCTAGGGGCTGAAGAATAGCTCAGGGGTTAAGAGCACATACCATTCCTACAGAGGACCTCAATGGACACTGCACATACATGGTGCAAAGGTATACTCAAAAAATAAAATAACAAATCTTTACAAAAAATTGAGCTGATGCTTTAAATTTCCATTTCATCTAATAAAAACGAATACATTTTTAAAGAAAACTGAAGTCCACTTTACCAAATGGCATTTCCTTCTAACAGTTTTACTTAATAACTTGCAAGATAAAAATCTCATACTGTACTTAACAGTGAAAACAGTATGATCTTTCCAATAATACAGAGCAAAGGCCCACCTTTTTAATCTCCTTATAGAGTTCTAGCTGTAGCCTTGGAAGATTAGAATCCATCAAAGCCTATAAATAGATAAAAAGAAATTTGTTATAGAAGATACATTCTATCCACAGTTCTAAATAAAGCTAAATAGCAACCAAAATTTCAATTTTTAAGGAAAGTAACATAACAGCAACTAAATAACAAAGCTATTTGTTAAGAAAAAAGAAAATGTATATAGAAATTATAGAACATTCTAAATTCAGGTCTTTACTAGGATAAAAACAAAAGGGAAAATAATTTAACATTTATAATAATCAAATAATATGTAACATCAAATTAAGATTAACCCTAAACTCTCATAGTAAACATTCAGTCTTCACTAGTTCACTTGGACAACTCAGGTGACCTCTAAGAAAGAAGGGTATGGGGGCTGTACTCCTAGAATCTTGAGCCCCTTTGTCTAGCAGGGAACATGACACAGAATCATCTTTTTTGAAGTTCTGAACCTCCAAAATGGTAAGGATACTCACAGGCCCCACTCTTTGACCCACCCTGGGTGTCAGTGTCAGCTAGGAAGTCTAAAAGTCCTCCCAGCTCATTTCTTGACCTTCCCTGCTCACTTCTAAACTAAATCAGAAATAAGATCTAGGTCTCCAACTTCAAGCCACAATCAAGGCTAATGGCACAAAGTCCACATTAAAGAAGGGCCCCCTACTCTTGTCCCTAGAACTTTTTCTTCTAAAATGGCATACTAAAATGGTACAGAGAAAGTGACCCAGCTCTTCTTTTCAGTCACATGCAGCACCTGATATCTAGAGACCAAGAAGAGAGGGTTAGCTCTAACTGTCAATCATAGAATTGACAACCTAGAATTACCTGGAAACAGTCTCAATAGATCTTTCTAGAGCAGGTTGTCCTATGGGCATATTTGTGAGGGACTGTCTTGATTGCCCTAACTGATCTGGGATGGTCCAGGCTGAAAATGAGTAGCACCATTTGGACCCTGAGTTTGGACTGTGAACTGATTGAAAGTAGAGAAAGTTAGCTGAGTATTAGGCACACATACATTTATTGTCTCTCCACCTTGACTGTGGCTCTGACCAACTGCTTTGAGTTCACTGTAATGATGGACTGTGAAGTTCTAAGTCATATCCTTCCTCCCTTCAGTTTTTTGTTTTTGTTTGCTTGTTTGTTTTGGTCAGGATATTTTATCACAGCAGTAGAAATGAAACTAGGACACAGGGATCATCCACTGGGCTCATGAGCTTGAAAGTTAGAGCAGAGGCACACTCTGGAAAACTGATTCAGGAGTGTAACATTCCACCAACTTTTTTAAAAATTCATTTTATGTGTGCCTGAGTGTATGTATGTGTACAGTAGCATGCAGAGATCAGAAGGCGACACAGAATACCCTGAAACTTGGGTTACAAGTGGTTGTGAGCCACCTCATGGATGCTGGGAACTGAATTCAGACCTTCTGCAAAAACAGTAATCTCTCTCAAGAAATAAAGCATTTTCCTGGCCCCACCAGCAAATTTTAAATCCTGATTCTGCTGCTTGCAGACCAAGTTTGAACAAAAGATGCAAATCAAGCTGACAAACACATTAGAAGACAACTTTTCAAATAAAATTAAAAAATACATCAAAGCCTGTTTTAGCTACATAAATGTTTTGTGAACCAAAACCTACCTCATTCTGTGGTAGAGAAAACCAAAGCTCAAATCTCCTAAGCACAAAACACGGCTCTTCCCTGGGGCCCTTATGGTGTGATAATACAGCTCGCCATAGCTTCCTCTCCCACAATCCCCAGCCTGACTCCACACATGGCTGGGAGTCAGCTCCCAGCTCAACCCCACAGCTCAACCACATACCTCACAGCTTGGCAACATCCTAGCTCATGCCCTCCCCTCAGCTGGGGTCCCTCTTTGCACTTCCTATCAAGACTGGCTTCCACACAAAGCCACTGGTCTGCAAGGAGCCTTCATTTTCTACCAAGATGTGTCTTGAACTGACCCTCAAGGCACCCCATTCTCCACAGTATAAGGACCTCTACCCTGCCCTCCAGGCCAAACCTCTGGGCAGGAGTACAGTGGGAAGTTCTTTCCTGCTTCAGGACACCACCTCTACCTCCCTGGGTAAAAATTACCTCCTCCTTGCTGACATGCACTTTATACCAAGGGTTATATTCACTTTACCAGCCAAGACTATAAATCACTTGAGGGCAGGAACACACTACCTGGATGTCAGACTTGAACGTATTTTCAACACAAAAGAAAAGTAATACCTGAGCATTTTCTGGGCTAGAGACTGGACTTTATAAAACACACTAGCAATTCTTACATGAAGACAAAAGTCCGGGACTGACTACCAGGTGACCATTTCTGCATTCCTACCCATTCCTTGCCCCTGGCCTGAAGCCATCCTATTCTCCCACTTCACCCTGCCTTTCCCCTGCCACAGTGAACATACCTAACAGGATCCTGGTCCACCCTACTGACTTACCCTGCAGACTGTAGCAGTTGAAGAGGCAGAAACACGAAAGCAGCAGTAAGCAGAAAGGAAAGCATGAGAGACTGTCCTGACTTATGCTCAAGGCTATGCTGTGAAAAGCTGGAACCTGCACCATCTGAGACTAGAAACCACAAAGAAACAAAGGAAGTAGAGATAGGCAGCTAAAGAACTAGAACATGAAGCTACAACCTAGAGCAGTGGTCTCTGACCTAAAGCATTCACCAAGCCATCATGACCAGCAGCAACTTCCGTAAAAAGCCACCGCAGAAGACAGGTTTGAGCCAGGCAGTGGTGGTAGACGCCTTTAATCCCAGTGCTCAGGAGGCAGAGGCAAGTGGATCTCTGAGTCTAAGACCAACCTGGTATAGAGAATGCATTCCAGGATGACCAGAAAGAGAAGGAGGAAGGATGAAGAAAGAGGAAGGAGGGATGAAGAAGGAAGAAGATGGATGATGACAAAAGGTTTGAAAGGGAATGCTGCCTACAGCTGAAATAACTAGGATCTGGGCAATTTAGAGTCACCTCGTTCTCTTTGCCCTTCTTAATGCCTACTTGTCAATCAAGGCAACTGTATTATCTCTCTCAAGCTTTTTGCCTCTGAAGACAAAAGATCAAGAAATATCAAAGAAAGTCCAACCTGATCCTGATTAATGAAAACAAGGGTGTCTAGGATTGGAGAAGAAAGAACTGAAATAGGACACATGGGACCAATGTGAGGGTCACCAATGTACCAAGTGTGTAAAATATTTGAAACCAATCCAGCCATTAGGCCAACATGGGAGATGAGACACACACTGGCTGAGATTTTATGAATTTGACACAAGCAAGAATGCTCCAGTAGGAAAAACTGAGAAAAATGCCTCCATCAGGTTGCCTGGAGGCAAATCTGAAGGGCATTTTCTTGATTAATAATCAATGTGGAATTGGCCCTACCCATAGCAGGCAAAGCTACTTCTGGGCAGGTGATGCTGATTTGTATGAGGAGGAACCCAGTAAGCACCATTCCTCCATGGCCCCTGCTTCAGTTCCTGTGATAGCTTTCCTTCATACTGTACTATGAGCTATAAAATAAAAGAAACCCTTTCATCTCCAAGCTGCTTTTAGTCATGGTGTTTTATCACACCAATAGAAAGCAAACTAAGGCTAGGTGGTGGTGGTGCACACCTTTAATTCCAGCACTGGATAGACAGAGGCAAATGGATCTCTAAGTTTGAGGCCAGCCTGGTCTACAGAGTGGGTTCCAGGACAGCCAAGGCTACACAGAGAAACCCAAGGAAGGGAGGGAGGAAGGGAAAGGAAAGGAAAGGAAAGGAAAGGAAAGGAAAGGAAAGGAAAGGGAAGGGAAGGGAAGGGAAGGGAAGGGAAGGGAAGGGAAGGGAAGGGAGGGAGGGAGAAGAAGGGGAGGGATGGAGGAGAAGGGAGAGAGGGAAGGGAAGGGAGGGGCAAACAGAGAAACAAAGCAAGCAAACTAAGGTGGGCACTATGTGCAGATGCTGGGAAGTGACAATAGCAATCTCCCAAAGGCTGCCCCACCCCAACCATTCTTCAACCTCAACAGAGATAGCTAGAAACCTGAGCACCAGAGAAGTCAGCTTTGACCACAGAGTAGGCTAACTAAGAGACTATGGCCTGGTCATATGGAAAGAATTCCTTAGGAAAGGGGATCCACAGATTCATTAACAGAAAGCGGAAAGCAACAACGAACTGACATGTCATGCTTTTGCCTTGCCATTGGGCAAAAGTGAGAATTCCATTACTAACAGGAATGTGTCTCACCATACAAACACATCAACATGCTCACATATAAACCATAAATACAAATTCCATAAAGACAAACACTTAGGTTCACAGAAATAAAGTACACTCCCACCAAGTTGTTCATTTGTTTAGTTACAGGCTGGCAGGAATCACCCTGCTTGGGCCTGAGGAATAGAGAAAAGGACTGCAGCAGGCCATCTGAAACCACAGCAGACAAGTCATCCCTGAGGAAGGCTAAACTCATCAAAGAAAGGAGGGTAACTGCATGGCCAGTATAAAATATGGTGCTTTAAAAAGAAAGACATAGGGAAGAAACTGAAAGGACTGTTCTGCTTTAACACACTAACAGGGAGGAAAATAACCATTGTTAGGTGAGTTTCTAGTTCACCCAAACTAGGATTATGAGGAAAACAGCCTTCAAGGAGAGGGAAGAGATGATGTCTATAAATTTCAGGACTGAGACTCAGCCAGGAGGGGAAAGGGAGTGGGTGTGTGAAAGCCTAAAGAAAAGATCCTTGCACAGGACAATGAGATACACATTCTCCTTAGCCATCTTTTAGAAACAGTTTACGAAGCAGTGTTGAGAACTATGTCATAGAGCCTACCTTCATGGTAGTCAACTTGAGATACAAGTGATACTTTGAACTAGTGATATACTAGTTCAAAAGCCCCATTCATAAACTCAAGGGCAATGTGGAAAGAGGCAATAAGAACAGGCATTAGACTCCTAAGAGGAATACGTGAGAATGATAAAAACCAAACTGATTTTGTAAAACGTTAAGAACGGGAACAGAAACCAGGCATGGTGGTGTAAACATTTAATACAAGTATTCAGAGTGAAGAAGCTGGTAGATCTGTAGGAACTCAAGGCCAACATGATTTACATGAGTTCCTGGCTAGCCCAGGCTACCTAGTGAGACCACATCTCAAAAAAAAAAAAAAAAGAAAAAAAAGAAAGAAAGGAAAAATAAAAAATAATGAGTGCAGGGAAGGAAGATTTTCATCTTGCATCACAGTGGAAAACAGAACAAAGAAACAGACTGCAGTGATCTGCACTAAGTAGTAAGAAGCAATGGCATAGTGAGATAGGTACCTAGCCTCTCCTCACCTCTTCTGGTACTGCCATTGAGTAGCTAGAACTTCCTGGCTTCACTATCATGCCTGGGTTCTTCTCCTTTCTCCCCATTCAAGTCCTGCTATTTCCAAGTAACCTAACTTGAGAAGCTACATCTTTACCAACAAGTAGTATTGTCTTACTTCTGTTAGGAAGGTCAGAGAATAGAGAAGAAAGGCTTCACTTGCCTACCTTTGCTTTCCCAGTGCTTTGGGGTTCTCCAAGCAATGCCCAAAAAAAAGTGGGAATCCACAGAGACTTTCCTCTTAAGAAATAGGCAACCAACATAAAGAAAGAAGAAGAAGAAGAAGAAGAAGAAGAAGAAGAAGAAGAAGAAGAAGAAGAAGAAGAAGAAGAAGAAGAAATAGGCAACCAATGGCTACACAGCTGCCCTTTAGAATTGATCTATGCACTATAAGCTGCAAAAGAAATAGTTCCTGCTGATAGAACACATTTAGCTGCTCATGGGCAAATACCCTAGGCCCTCCAAGCCACATGCCCAAAATGGAAGATATATGTAGATATTCTGAAGATGCTTCACTCAAAACAGGAGAAGGCTCATTGAAAATTTGTTCTCTTAACCCAAAACAATTACAGGCACACACATCCACAGGGCTCTTACTTTGATGACTTTGTTGAGGCACTCATCAGCTACCATCCTGACATCTGATTCTGCATCATCACTGCACAGCAGAAACAGCTCCATAGCAATGCCCAAGAGTTTCTGAAATTCTGGAGAATTTCTAAGTAAAAAGGAGAGAGAAAGAGAGATTGTTACAGGTATGAGGGGGCTAGGAGACCTGATGGCAAAGTGCAATGAGGGATCTAAATGGAATTTTGTAGCAAGAAAGAACATCACATAAAAATTAAGGATATCTGCAGAAAGGTGGACTGCAATGAGCAGCATATTGGTACTAATTCCCTTTTCCTTTTAAGATTTCATTAAAAAAAAAAAAGATTTCATTTAAACACCTTTAAAAGATATTATCTAGTATACTCAAATCCCAGGAAGTCATATGCTTTGTAGTTGCTTTTACTGTTAGATAGTATCCTTGAAGCCTTGAAACCAGTAAGCTAATACATCTATCTCCTTTATTTCCTTTTAATCTCACTTTCAATGTGCTTCGAGGTATAACCACATTTCACTAGACTCCACAGGCTCACAAGACTTTTCTATTGCAAGAAACAGAATACTAGTATCACAAAAACTGGAATCTGGGTACTATTTGTGAACTATTTTTGTAAGTTTAATTGAGAGTACTTGTTTGATATGTAATGAGCCAACAAACTAAGCCCAGCCAGAAGGAGAGGCTGGTGGACCATGTGAGTGGAACTCAAACCTGTAACATAAGGCATATTCTGGAAGTGATCCTAGTGACAAAGGAACAGGGTGGGCTATTACTAAAACATCAAAAGCAGACTGTTGTCTCAGGATCTTAATCTAAAGAACCCTGATCTATAGTCTCATTCTTTTTCACCACTAAGCAGAAAATCCTAGCACAGGCCTTTAATCCTGGCACCAGGGAGGCAGAGGCAATGGAATCTCTGTGAGTTCTAAGTCAGTTAGAGCTACACAATGAGACTGTCTCAAAAGGTGTGGAAAGACTTCCATAAACCTAAGAGAAAGAAAAAGTTATCAGTAATGCTAAACACATACAGAGCAAGAAATAAGACATGGCACTCAGCAATACTGTAGACCTTATTGGTAAGAAATACAGTCATAAACTAGGAGCTAAGGAGGGGAAGTCTGATGCTAGAAACTTTCCCTCAGACATCTGCCTTAGCATTGCTCAAACAGAAGGCTAATGACAGCTACAAGAGTGAACTCAGGTTTTCTTCTAGAAGCATCAAAGTAAAAAGAAACAGATAAGGTTAATTATTTAACAAACCTACCCAAAATACCAGCATGTAGTCAGGAGGTAACTTGACAGCAGACCTAATGACCTGACTTCAATATTCATAACTTATATCATGAAAAGAACCAACTCCTGAAAGTTGCCCTCTGACCTCCACATAAATGCTGTGTCACATGCACACTCACACACATAACACACACAAAATCAATCAATGTAATAAAAAAATTAAGAAATTAAGGACTGTGTTGTATAGCAAACTCTTTAAGAATCAGGAAACTCTGAAGTAAGGCGTATTAAGACTCAGGAAGTGGCTGGGTATGGTGGCGCCTTTAATCACAGCACTCAGGAGACAGAAATAGGAGGTCTCTCTGTGAGTTCAAGACCAGTCTGGTCTACAGTAAATTGAAGAACTACCAGGACTACATAAAGAGATCCTGCCTCAGAAACAAACAAACAAACAAACAACAAAAAGAAGACTCAGGAAGCAAGCAACTCACACATCTCAGGAAGTCCCTGAAACTTATCAGATTCATAATTACTCTGTCCCTAAATGTGCTGTCTAGTTTTATGTCAGCTTGACACAGCTAGGATCATTTGGGAAGAGGGAACTTCAATTGAGAAAATGCCTCCACCAGTTTGGCCCCCACATGATTGATGTTGAAGCACCTATTTTGTTGTGGGTGGTGCCACCCCTGGGCTGGTGATCCTGGGTACTATAAGAAAGCAAGCAGAGCAAACCATGAAAGGAAGTCTGTAAGCAGCACTCCTCCATGGCTTCTGTAACAGTTCTTGCCCTGACTTCCGTCAGTGATGGACTATGATCTGGAAGTATACGCTGAAATAAATCTTTCCCTCCCCAAACTGCTTTTGGTCACGGTGTATTATCATAGCAATAGAAACCCTGAAAAATAAAGCAGTAAGGACTGCTGAGGGGAGGGAAACTCCTGAGATGTTGAAGTCTATGTTGTACAGAGAGTTTCAGGGTTCCAGCTTTAGTGAGCTATCACCCATGCACAGGGTGGGTTTTTGAATCATCCATGCTCTAAAATTTACTGTAACCCTTGTACACTCACTGATTCACCAAGTTGGATTTTAGTGGTATCAGTACTTTGATCTGTTAATGCTTCCCTATGGGTTAAGTAAACATTTATTCACATCTCCCCAAGAACAGTTTCACAGAATAGGTTGCTACATGCATGATTACATCTGCAATCCCAGCACTCAAGAGGCAGAGATAAGATCACCACTAGTCCCAGATCAGTATTTAGTGAGGTTTTGTCTCAGAGAGAGAAAGAAGAAAAAGGAGGTCTCTTATGGTTACCACATTTGCCAGCATAGATGCTGTTTCCACTGCTCTTCAATCCTTTGTGTAAACCCAAATTCTATCTTGTATCATTTTCCTATCTGCCGGAAACACTTTCTTTAAAATGTCTTAAACTCATTGCTTTTTAGACAGAAGACATTCCTGTAGTATGTCTGAAAATCTATTTTACCTTTTCATTTGACAGGGATTTTTACTGGGGAGAGCATGCCTTACAGATGGCACTTCCCTGGACTCTGGCAGGCATTTCCTATGAGAAGTTGGCTGTGGCCTTATTTTAGTTCAAGCTCAGTCTTTCTCCTGTCTTATTTCTACTTCCCATACCCCCAACCTGTTGCTTCTTGAATGCACAAAATAGTCTGTTTCAGTGTTTCTGTGTGCTAACCTAGTTTAATTTCTGGGCCAATGTTGACAAATTATTCTTGTTACAAATTGTAACTTCATACACTTTGCATTTCTGGTTGATTTTTGTTGCCCTCAGATTTTGGTTTGAAGCCAGCATCTCTATCTGTGTCTATCATGGACCCATGTGTCTGACCTCTGACAAAAATTCTAATGATTTTGTTTGCCAACTTGTAAGGTGACAATGTACTATTTTGTTTTCATCACTGCTCCAGCTGCTATAGGAAAATCCCACAGACTAGATGGCTGAAAGCACAACACATGTCTCACAATTCTAGCAATTGGAGTCAATGCTGGCACCAAGCGGAGGACAGGGAGAGGAGAGCAGAGAGGTGTCATGCTTTCTTTCCCTCTAAATATCTACAATCTGGCTTCCTTGTAGAAAACCAGAAATTTAATTTGTTTATTTATTTACTTTCGGTTTTTTGAGACAAGAGTTTCTCTGTGTAGCTTTTGAGCCTACACTGTCACCCACTCTGTAGACCAGGCTGTCCTCGAATTCACAGAGATCCGCCTGCCTCTGCTTCCCCATTGCTAAGATTAAAGGCGTACGCCACCACCACTTGGCTAATATATGTATTTTCTTGAGTTCTGCAAGCCACCCTAGCAAACTAAAAACTCCTGAACCTAAAGAGGAGGGTAACACAAATCTCATATTAGTCACTCAATGGCCTCCCACAGGCCTGTGACTGGTACTTGAAGAGCAGTTTATGAGACAAAGTGGAATAAATTTGTGTGATGTGGCATTAACCTCAAGAAGACACAGTAAACACTAAATTCACCTATTAAAATGCATAGTTGGTCTCAGCGATAGAGTGGGGGATTAAGTTTTCAACACATGGACTGGGATGGAAGATAAAACATTCAGTCCACAACTAATGAAGATGAACTTTTAACATAGGAAACACAAAGTAAATACTAAACCCAACCAGATTCCTTCCTTCCTTTCTTTTTCTTATTTTTCTTATTTTATTTATTTATTTTGAGAAGAAGTCATGCTTTTATAAAGCCCAGGTGTGCTAACATATTATTTATGATTTAAAAAAAGATTGCCTAATGTATCAAAATGCAAAGCCAGCCACATTGGTTTAATCTCAAGACTCAGGATGGATCTCTGTTGAGTTCAAGGCCACCCAGGGCACACGAGAGTGAATCAGGTAAAAGATTCAGAGCTCACACCTTTAATACCAGCTCTAGAGAAGTATATAAAAGACAGAGCCCAGTGTCTTAGGCTGCCTTCTGAGATTTAGTCTCCAGCCACCTTGAAGACAGGCAACAGTCTGAGGCTTGGAGGAAAGATCTTGGAGACAGGATCAACCCTTTCAGTCTGAGAGGTAAGAGCTAGTGACTGACTGCTTTGTTTTTCCGATCTTCAGCTTGAAGCTTGAACCTCAATATCAGTCTCAGGGTCTTTTACGATGTGTTATACCCATGCTAGCCACTAACTCATGAACTTCCTTTGCCTCTTGTCCAAGTAGTAGCCCAGTCAAATTTCTTTCTTGAAATACTTGTTTTCTTTATCTTTATCTATTTTCTTATTAAGATAATAGTCTTTTCTTTAATGATTCACAGATTATTAAGCCTTTCATTTATACATTGTCAATACCTTCCTGAAATTGAATTTACTTTCTAGTTCATTTAAGGTAGGTTTTGATATTTAAGCTATATTCTAAAGCTAGGTGTCCTGGTTAGTTCCAAATACAACTACCTGAGAGACATCTAAGAGAGAGAGAGACGGAGACAGAGACAGAGAGAAAGGAAGAGGGGGAGAAAGAGAGGGAGAGAGAAGGAAAGAGGCTAGAGAGCACTGACTGCTCTCCCAGAAGTCCTGAGTTCAATTCTCAGCAGTCACATGGTAGCTCATAACCATCTATAATGGGATCTGCTGCCCTCTTCTGTCATGCAGGCATACAAATAGAGCACTCATAAATAAATAAATCTTTTTAAAAAAGTTACCTGAGAGACTGTGCCACGATGTTTTCACATATTGTTAGACAATGACTCACACGGTCCTTCTTGGTGGCTGAGAGTTCCTTCTTTCTAAAAATCAAAAGGAAAAGAAATGAGCATGTGTTATATATTTCATTCATTCCTAAGTACTTCTTGGCTACTACTAGTGAATCATTAACCCCATGCTGGGAAAATGAGGATGGGGAGGGATGGTAACAGATTGAGTTTTACCAAGGGCTTCCCAATGCACCACTTACATGCACAAAAAAAGAAAAAAAAAATCAGTGGCATCAGAAAGGCATTATTTTTCCCCATTATATAGAGAAGGAAAAAATGAAGTACCAACAGTCAGGCAGGGAGGAAAAGAGGTAGGATAGACCCCATGAAAGGTAAAGTCAAAGATAAAGATTGTACAGGGGTTACCAGCACAGAAAGATCCAGAGCCTGAATGCTATGCCAATAAAGATCTGTCAGTACTGGGGCCAGTGAGTGTGTCTCTTTCATGTCTTTCCTAAAAGGGACTTTTCCTGACAAGTTATGCTGCAGAATGCTGATCACCCACCAAAATTTGCATAGCTTGATCTTTTACTTGACTTGCCAAAGATCACACAGGTAGGAAGTAAGAGCCAGGACTGGTTATCTAACTTTAAATATAATCTCACCAATCCACATTCAATTCACATTTTCCCCCATTTAATGTCACTGAAACAAGAATGCATATTACAGCCAGTGGCGTATTACAGGTTAATTAGTAACCTCTTTTCTTTCTCAGTAATAAGATTATGGAGACATGGATTACAATGAGTGAGATACTCAGTGGAACACAAAATATGATCCTATTCTATATCAATAATATAATAGAGTAAAATCTATAAATCCTGATCATGGTGACCACAGGGATTTATGGGTTAGTCAAATTTCACAGAACTGTACACTGAAAACATGTACCAAGTTGCTGCTGTTCTCAAAACTGGCCTAGTTAGCTGAATATTGTCAGTATACTATACAGACTTCAGCAGCTAACTAGTCTACATCCACAAACAACTAGATATAATGCCTTCTTAAAAAAAAAAAAAAAGCCAGATGGTGGGTGGTGGCACACGCCTTTAATCCCAGCACTCAAGAGGCAGAGGCAGGTGGATCTTTAAGCCACTTGTACTAGATAGAGCCTCTGCTGCAGCAGCTTAGATTTTGCCTCCTTTAAGATAGCCATCAGGATCCTTAGAGAACATCAATCACCTTAAGAAGTTTAGGGAACAAACTATCCTTTGATTTGCACAGGGAAATTTTGTTCCAGCCTTTAAATAAACTGAACTCAGACATGCTTCAAAACATCAATGGTCTGAGATTTTAAGTGACTTCAGATTAAGTAGAACCTCCACAGTTAAAAAGAAGTGAGCCAAAAGGTGGAACTGACCAAGTCCCTTTGCTCTGGAACAACTTTCCCAATTACAATTAATGGGTCTTAGCTAATTCAGACAGCATGGTAAACAAGTACTTTTGGTGGTATATGGCTGCACAACACAGCAAGCTGCACTGAAAGACTGCCATGACATTGGGGGTGGGGGTGAGCTCCTAAACTAGGTGATTCTCAAGGTCCTGTCAAGCTGTCACAAGTTTATGAGGCATGTATTGACAGAAGCAACACATCAAAATGCCAACTTTTCTGCAATTAAGAATTACTGTGTGGAGCTCCAACATGTTTATAACTTAGTAGAATCATGGAGGGAGTAGTTACCAAAAAAAAGCCTTGGGGCGGGGGATCAGTCCTGAAAAGATGAGTCAGTGTTTAAAACACTTGTTATGCAAGCAAAGGTCCCCAACCTGCAAGGTGACAGTGGCATTCACCTGTGATTCCAGCCTTGGAAAAAGGAGATGGGATTCCCAGAGCTAGCTGGCTATCAACACAAGTCTGAGTTTGACTGAGAGACCTTGCCTCAAAGAACAAAGTAGAAAAATGATCAAGGAAGATTCCAACATCAATCTCAGGCCTTCACAATCTAGAACACATCTGTCTACACATGTATACCCCTACACAAATACCACAAACAGACACATATTAAAAAAAGATTAAGCCTGGTGTTGATGGCATACCTTTAATCCCAGCACTCAGGAGGCAGAGGTAGGCGGATCTATGTGAGTTCGAGGCCAGCCTGGTCTACAGAGTGAGTGCCAGGATAGCCTCCAAAGCCACACAGAGAAACCCTGTCTCAAAAAACAAAACAAAACAAAAAGATTAAAAAAAAAAAAAAAAAAAAAGAAAGCTTCACACCAATTACATGTTTGATGACTTAGCTAGGCCTATAGAACATTTATTTTACTTCTTTGGAAAAGTTTTCTGTGTTCATTCTCCCTCCCCTTCCTTCATGAGATAAACCCACATGACAAAGTTAGCAACAAACAATATGATCCACCTCTCGCAGCCTGCCACCTTAGACCTACTCAGCCAAGCTCAAACTATGAGTTAAGGAGGATACCAATCTTAACAATGAAATGAAAATTCATGACTCTGCTGTTTTGTCCAGTTTGAGGCACAGAGAGTCTTGAAGGAAGCCTTCTTATTTACCAGTGGCCTTTCTTCAGGTCCTGCTGGTACTTCCTCAGGCAGTGCTCCTTAGATTATATCTCCAGAATTGGGGGTGGAGGGACCACATCATATCTGCATTACTAGCACTCAGCACTCACACTGTACAGCATTCTAAAAGAGCTTATCAAATAAAGAAGTAAATCTAGATGTGGGAGACTCAAATAAATTATTAGCACTAGTTTCTTGAGTGAGTCTTGAAACAACAATGATCCTAACTCTACACAAGTTTCCAAAACCAAGAGATCAAAGAAAGGTAGAAATTATAAAGCTTTATCCCAAGCATCCTCAGCGCAAAATTCTTTGGTCTGGTAAGAAAATTGCTTAGAGACAGGAAGATGGCTCAGTGAATAAAAGTATCTGCCTTGCAAGCCCAATGACCTGAGTTTGATCCCAAAACCCTTATTAAAAGTTAAATGCAGTAGTACACATCTGTAATCCTAGCACTCCTAAGCAGAGATAGGAGACACAAATGGGGAATTACCTGGAAGGTCACAAGCCAGTTAGCCTGATAGATTTGTGGGGGGAGGAGGGAGTGTGTGTGAAGAGGAACAAGAGAAGGAAGAGGGATAGGACACAAAGCAGAAAGGAAATGACCAATGAGATGGCTAATATTTGCTGACTACTTCTGGAATCAGCTAAAACCCAAGCAGCTGGGCACATCTGTGAGGGACTTCCTTGACTGGATCATTGAAAGTGGGAAGACCCACCTTTAAATCTAGGCCACAGCTTCTAGTGGCAGCCCACATAAAAGGACATGGAAGAAGGAAGCTTTGTTTTTGCATGCTTGTCCTCAATCTCCCCAGCAAGTTCATGTATCCTGTTGCTGAGGCACTCCTTCACTGGTGTTAGAACTTATTCCTTCAAGATGCCCACACTGACTGAAGACCCACAGCTCTCTAGGAGTTTTCCAGGACTCCAGCACCAGATTGGGACTGATGAGACAGCCAGTCGGAACAACTACTGTATTACTGGCCTTTTTATCAGGAGATAAGTCATTGCTGGACTACCCAGACTACAGCTAGTAAACCGATGTAATAAATCTCCTTTTAAAAATGTGTGTATGTATGTGTATATATATGCACGTTTTATATACCACATTGTACATACATTATATACGAACACACATGTGTATATGTGTGTGTATATGTATGTATATATATATATATATATATATATATATATATATATATATTTATATACATATATTAGTAGTTAGAATGAGAACAGCCCCCATAGACTCATATGTTTGAATTTTTGGTCACAGTTAGTAGTCCTGTTTGGAAAGGATTAGGAAGTGTGGCCTTGTAGGGGAAAGTTTGTCACTGGGGGTGGGCTTGAGGTTTGAAAAGCCCACACCAGGCTTAGTGTCTCTCTGCTCACAAGCTGCTGATCAGATGTGAGTTCTCAGCTACTTCTCAGTACCATGCCTGCCTGGCTGACTCCACAATATTGACATGATGATAACAGACTAACCCTTTGAAACTGTAAGCAAGCCTCCATCCAATTAAATGCTTCATTTTGTAAGTTGTCTTGGTCACGGTGTTTCATCACAGCAATAGAACAATAACTAAAACATATATATACACACATATACATCGTTTCAGTCTTGTTCCCTTACAGAATCTTGACTAATACAACCAAAGCAACTCTCCAAAGTTGTCCTTTAACTTCCCACACACAATGATCACTTGTTCACAGATTCTCGTTACCAAGATATTACTGTCAAAAACAGAGTAGACTATCACAGTCAAACAAAGAAAATATAAATCTTAAGTTTTTCTCTTTTTACCTTATCCTGAACTATTTTTCAGCAAACTAAACCCATTTCAGGAAAAACTTACTTTTGTTACATCTGATAGTTACATAAACATAAAATGTTGCTACCATATAAAGTTCTCAATAGTTGCTAGTCTGACTTAAAAATTCAAGCAACAGTTATTAAGTACCCGCTTTGTGTGAAAAGCAAACCATCTGCTTGCAATCACATAGTGATACTGTTCGATCTCTTATATCTACTGTGCATGTGAACTCTGACATACTGTACATTCTAAGAGCAGCACAGCTCTTCTACTAAAGTCAACCTCTCAGGATGCCAGTTTTAAAGTGCAGGCCAGAACATCCAAGGCCTTATGAAAAGTACCTCCTCTAGCACACTGAATGCTCTTATTTAAAGTATGAGGATTGGATGGCACCCTCAGAACAGAGAGGAGTATAGACTTCTCAAGTCAATTTGGACAAGATCCCAACATTATAACTTGGCAGCATTCAAGACTGAAGAAGGAGAATCAGGGATTTGAGAAGTCAGGGATATACATAGCAAAATCTCGTCTCAAAACAACAAATCAATTTGACCTCAGGCTACCTTTCAACCTCATTCCTCACCAATATTCTCCAACCTGTAGGGAACTCTGGCCCTTTAACCTTCAGTTTAAAACAGAAGGGAAATAGAAACAGTAAACCTTGCAGTTGTTTAGGGCATACATCTTCCAGCTGAAGTCCTGTAGATGGCCCCATCCCTCTTTCTTCTTCCCTCTCTCCCAGGCTGGCCTGAACCTCACACTGTATCCCCCTCTAGATGAGAAGTCAAGGTCCTCATGCCTAACCTCCAGCTCCCAATACCCAGCCTAGGTCCCAATTTGAAAAAAACCTCTTTTTTTATCTCATTCTGTCCAATAAGAAAACCCGATATCTAAAAAAAACAATAAACAACCTGTAGCTATTTCATTCCTTATGGAATTGGATGGATTTTTAGAGACAAGTCAAACTTATTTGTTTTTCATGAAAAGTAAGATGAATAAAAGAAACTGCATAGCTCTGAGCAGGAACTGTATCAACAAGGTAAAAACAATCCTGGCTCTCCAACCACTTGGAACTACATCTTAAAAAACGAAAACAAGCTTCAACCATTTTCTTCTAAATGTGCAATGAAGCAATCTACAGAGGCTCACAATTACAGAGGTATGTAATGCATTTTTAAATTATCTAAAAACTATCTCTGAAAATACGAATCCAGGCCCTCTCATATGAATTCTTAACTTTAAAATTACACTGATTGTGCTTTTTAAGATGTAATTCCAGGGGCTGGAGAGATGGCTCAGTCGTTAGGAGGGCTTGGGTCCTTCCAGAGGACCAAAAGTTCAGTTCCCAGGACCTGTATCAGATAGCTTCACAACTACCTGTAACTCTAGATACAGGGAACCCAATACCCCTCATGTGCATAGCCCCCCCACAGATTATATATATACACCAAATTAAAAATAAAAATATTTTTTAAATGTGATTTCATACTAAGAGGGTGAACTGGACAACTCAAGGAATTTGAAAACATTCCTATTCACCAGGATTTACACACACACACACACACACACACACACACACACACACACACACACACGCACACGCGCGAGAGCGTGCGAAATCATGCAGGAAGGTCTTTAAGCAGCAAAACCCTACAATCTTCTAACAGTCTTCTGTGGGACACAGAAGAAGCCACCTAAGAAAGATACAAGAATCAGTATGGTGTACAAAGGTTCTTCAAATACAAAGACAGACTGAGGCATAACGTACTGTACAATGAAGAGTTCTATTATCAAGAGACCCTCCTTATTTTAAGATAGCTAGAGCCAGGCATGATATACATCTTCAATCCTAGAATGCAGGAGGTAGTAGAGGCAGGAGGATTACAACATGTTCAAGGCCAGCATATGCTACAAAGCAAACAAATCCAGAAAGAAAGAAAGAAAGAAAGAAAGAAAGAAAGAAAGAAAGAAAGAAAGAAAGAAAGAAAAAAGACAACCAAGTGATGGTGATGCACACGTTTAATCCCAGCACTCGGGGCAGACAAGAAAATCTCTGTGAGTTCAAGGTCAGCCTAGTCTACAGGGTGAGTTCCAGAAAAGTCAGAACAGCTACACAGAGAAACTCTCTCAAAATAAAGCCAAAATAATAACATTAATAATAATGCAAAGGGAGGAGATACACACAGAGCATCAAGGAAACTTTAAAAAAGAGTGTCCACAGTGGAAGGACAAACAAAAAGTCTATTTCACACCACACACAAAAACTAACTCCTGATACACAGCCAACTTCAATGGGGAAGCAAATCAATGTCAGTCATTTATGCAACAGAATCAGAAAATGTTTCATGACCTCAGGTTGATTAAAAATTCATCAAAAAAAAAAAGAAATAAAAGCACCATAATGGAAAAGTATGGCAAACTGAACTTCATCAAAATAAGGGATTGCTCAAAATAAGGGTTAAAAAACACCATTTTGTAAGGGAAAAGACAGGCCACGATGGCAGGAGGTATGCTCACAGCAGCACTTAATTGTATTACTTAATAACCCAAACATATAACTAAGATGAGAAAAACGTAGCATATTCATACAAAGCAGACAGACTAAATGGGTAAATATTAAACCAACAACACTAAACACAAAAAGACTGTGACACACATGTGAGTGTCAACAGGTGGTGCTGTATGATTCTATTCACATGATACTCAAAACTGAGTAACACTGTAGTAAAATTCAGTGGGTAAAATGTAGGCTACAGGGTCTGGAGAGATGGCTCAGAGGTTAAGAGCGCCGACTGCTCTTCCAGAGGTCCTGAGTTCAATTGCCAGCAACTACATGGTGGCTCACAACCATCCATTATGAGATCTGGTGCCCTCTTCTGGTGTGCAGATATACATGGAAGCAGAATGTTGTATACATAATAAATAAATAAAATCTTTAAAAAAAATGTAGGCTATATTTTCTCAAGGCCAAGTTTAATCCCCATTGTGATCTTTTGTGTTCTGACAAATAAAGCTTGCCTGGAGATCAGAGGGCAGAGCTAGCCACTAGTTAACCATAGAGATCTGGAGATCTGTAGAGAGGAGACAGGAAGTAACAACATGGGGTAGAGACAGGAAGTGATAAGGCAGGGTGTAGACAGAATCTCTGCCCCATTCAGTCTGAGGAGTCAGAGGAAAGAAGTGGCTGTGGCTGCTCCTTCGCTTCTCTGATCTTTCAGCTTTTACTCCAATATGTGACTCCAGGTTCTTATTGACAAGACCAATTTGGATCACACTTCAAATCCCTGTCACAACTACTGTCCCCAAAAAGTAAGAAAAGCCCAACAAGATTGTTAAAAGTATGTAATTCTGTGGTGAAACTATACATCAGTGCAGAAAGGTGCCAAAGGTAAGGAAGAAACACTAAAGAGCCCGGTGTGCAGCGCTGAGGCCCAGACACCACCTCAGGCAGCCCCCGAGGGGCCTGGGGGTGGGGGTGAGCAGCTGGAGCACGGTGCTGAAAGGGATCCAGGAGGAACTGACTGACTTACAGAGGGATCCTCCTGCTTAGTGTTCTGCAGGGCCTATAGGTGATGACTTGTTCCACTGGCAGGCCACCATCATGGGCCCAAATGACAGTCCTTACCAAGGAGGTGTTTTCATCCTGACCATCCACTTCCCCACAGATTATCCTTTCAAGCCCCCAAAGGTTGCTTTTACTACCAAAATCTATCACCCTAATATCAACAGCAATGGCAGCATCTGCCTGGACATCCTGAGGTCCCAGTGGTCCCCAGCATTGACCATGTCCAAAGTTCTCTTATCTATCTGCTCACTGCTCTGCAACCCCAACCCTGACCACCCACTGGTACCAGAAATAGCCCACACCTACAAGGCCGACAGAGAGAAATACAACAGACTAGCAAGAGAGTGGACACAGAAATATGCTCTGTAAGTGCCTCGAAGACTCCATGGGAGACACTGTCTAAGAGAAAAGGCAGAATGGCAGTCCTGTGAAGTTCTGAACTATTGGCACTCACAGAACATCCTACGTTCACACACGTGTTGACCACTCACTTTCTCTGGCTGCAGCATGTTGGTGCCACTTTCAGCCATTGTGGCCTTGACAGTATCACACCTTTGATGCCAAATCAGCAACCATCGTTATGATCTGCAGTCTTCCTGGTTACTAGAATTGGTCTATGCCCAGCTTGTCTGCTTGTCTCTGGGGAAGCAAGCCACCATGCATGCCTCCCCTACTTGTCCTCAAATGGTGCCACTAGTCACCATGGCACTATACAGGGGCCCAGTCTGCTCCCTAACCACATGCCCTTTGCCTTTAGAACACAGTGCTATCCAGAGGGCCCAGGGCAGAGTGGGCTTTCTCCATACTCTTGTCTGCCACAGACCCATGTCCTCAGGAGTCCAAGTGTATCCTGGAGGCTCCTGGAATTGGGACAGCATCACACGAAAGTGCTTCTGCTGCCTTCCGCCACCATCCTCTGTCCTCTGTAGTGCTATATGCTGCATTTCTCTCCTCACAACAAATAGCAAGTGGGGAACATCGGGATCTATAAAACATGTAACACCCCAAGAAAGAGGATGACATCATCTGACGCGGAGAGATCGGGGAATATATATATATATATTGAGGCTTTCCCCACTCTTCTGCCACTGGGAACTTAACATGAAGTTCAAGCATAAGCCATTCACAGACTGGAACACAAGAAGAGGGACTTTAAATGCAAATAAAAGTGGAATTCCCTGAGAACTGTGAATGACAATTGATACTCTTTTCTCCTTTCAGACTGTATAAACTTGACAGGGAGGAGGAGGAGGAGGAAGAGGAGGAGGAGGAAGATGAGGAAGAAGGAGGAGAAGGAAGGAGGAAGAAGGAGGAAGAAGGAAGAAGAAGGAAGGAGGAGGAGGAGGAGGAAGTAGAAGAGAAAGAAAGAAAGAAAGAAAGAAAGAAAGAAAGAAAGAAAGAAAGAAAGACTAATGAAGAGGATTCAGCTGAAGGAAATGCCACCAATGCTAATTTCTGACTAACAATGGTGGCCAAGTTTTATACACTGTTTTACATGCACATTTTAGTACATTTTTGTGTGTATGCCATGGCACTCATGTGGGCATCAGAAACAACTTGTGGAAGCCAGTCCTTTCCTTCTACCACACAGGTCCCAGAGATCCAATTCAGAGTGTTGTCAGACTTGGTAGCAAGCACCTCCTCTCACCATCTCACTAGCCCACAATTTTGCTTTGGGTGTTTTGAGACAGGGTCTCACTATGTAGCTCTGGTTGTCCTGGAACTCACTCTGTAGACCAGGCTGGCCTCAAGCTCACAGAGATCCTCCTGCTTCTGCCTCCCCATTGCTAGGATTAAATGTATGGGCAACCAAGCCTGGCCTGCCCACATTTTTTTAATAAAAAAGAGACAAAGGCTCTAAAGCATGAAACTGGTAAATAGAAAAAAAAATACTTGAAAGACAAAAGTAGAAAATATGAAAAGTGATGTTCAACAAAACACAGACCATAACTCAATGCATAAGTACTTCCTGAGAATTTGTCATGAGCCTAGAACTCTGGATTTAGTGATTAAAATACAAACAGTTCTCAATGACCTGGTGGCACAGGCATAGGGAAGCTGGATCCGCCCTCTTATCTGGGGTGGGTGGACCCAGTGGCCCAGACCGACCAGCTCAGCTACCACCCAGGCCCACAGCTGGGCCTTGGGTTGGCCCACCCTAACATCTACCCTATCTAGGACCTGCTGGAGCTCGTGAAGGGACTGGTCCTGTGGAATCCTACAGAATCTCCATGACTCAGGGCAGCTACATGATAACCCCGAGGCGTTTCAGTGAGGATCCAGTGATGACGGTGTACCAGAAACCAGAGGCCTTGAACCAGACCAATGACTCATTGCAATGAACATTTGCTAGTAAAGCTGACTGGACAAAAGGGTATGGTGTGTGACACATCACTCCCAATGCCACCAGGGCAACTGAAGAGGTGATGGATAGGTAGGAAAGATGGAGAGGCAAAGAGGATTTTTGGTTTTGTTTTCTTGTTTGTCTGCTTGCTTTGCTTTGTTTTAGTTTTCTTTTGGAGAGTTGCAGCAGTGAAGGGAGGACATGGGGGGGACTGGGAGGTAAGCAGAATTAGGGTGCATGATGTGAAATTCCCAAAGAATCAATAAAGAAATTAACTGAAAACAAAAGTTCTCATCCAGCTCCCTCTAGAACCAACACATGTCATTCTAGCAAAAATGAGGAAGGAACAAAGAGCTGCACATCACCTCCTCAGTTCTCACAACTATCCTCACTTTAAGTATGAAAAGATCAGCTTAGAGAGAAAGATCTGTCAGCAGAGCCGAAAATCAAACCCAAGGCTAACAAAGGAAAGGTGATAGCTAGAGTACAAATACACAAACCAAAGCTTTATGTCAGCATACAAATGCCGTTTGACTAGGGAGTCAAGGCCTAGGACTTGCCCACCCCATAGTCTGTATCATTGAAAATGACTACCAGAGCTTTTCCTGCTAATGAGTTAATAGCAACAGAAGGTACTAGCATGTGTAATTCAAAAATCACCTGTTCATCATAAAAAATCACAATTACAATATGTCAGGTGAAAATTTGTAATGTACTTTAAAAAGCAATCTTAAAAAGAAGAGTTACAGGGGTGGCTGGTGGTGATAACAGAACACTGTTTTTACCATCATAGCTTGTATACTTCAAATGGTTATATTTTTATAACATGTTATTTTACCACAGGGGAAAAATAGAAAAAAAAAAAAAAGAAGAAGAAGAAAAAAAACTACTAAATCACCAAAGATCTGACATTACAGAAAATGTTACATAAGTAGAATCATACATTATGTAGGCATTAGGAACTAGCTTGCTCAATGTCCTATAATCCCCGCTATTCATCTGAACTGTTGCAGGTATCAGCAGCTATACACCTTTTTGTTGCTAAGTAGCTTAACTTAACTTCTAAATTGATTCCAATTTGGGCCATTACCCCTAGAGCTACTGATCATTTGCATATAGATGTTTATGTAACTCTAAATTTTAATTCCTCCAAGATTAATGCCTGGGAGTGCAATTGTTAGGCTGTGTAATAATTATGTGTTGGTCTACAAAATGTAAAGGATGTGTGGGGAAAAAAAACTTACGGAACTCACTACTTTGAAAGCTAATTTATAAATATGTTTGTATCTTTTTAAAGGAGTTTCAACACAGGTACACGCATGAGTGGGCAATGTGTCCCCCAGAAAACATGGATTATTAAATGAAAATTCTCAATGCTAAGCATGGATACCTTCTTACAAGTTATTGGTCAGGGAGACACCAGAAGCACAGCCCCAACCACCACCACCCCAAAACAACACAGGCTATTTCCATTGCTCTTGTTTGTCCAATGTAACTAGATGGTAAGACCTAATTGCTGAATATATAACACACTTTGGTTGCATAAAGGACACCAGATAACTAAAGATAGAACTGACTGGAAAACTTCCTCTTGGCTGGCTAGTTTTCATAATCCCAGAAGGTGTTATACAGGCCACTGGGAAAGAATTGACATCAATGGCCTTATTAAGCACTGGACCCTGAATGCTACAATATTGGCAATGGAGGCAAAATGTGACTACTGGTGCAATAGTCGTATAAAGGATACAAGGATAATCAACTACTTCCTGACTAGATTTAAAGCCTGCTCCATAAAAGGTATAAACCTAGTCCAAAGCCCATGTCTCAGAGGAAGGAGGTTACAGGCCCTAAAAGGGAACCTTACTATTGTTTCTCATAACAGACATATTGTTAGACTGCCTTCTAAATACTTATGTTTATATCCATAGATTAGTAGTACAGTCTACATTGATCAAATAAGCTTCTTTTTGGGTCCCTTTATAGATCAGTACTTTTCCCTAGCATAGGAATGGTCTCTGGGAGCCCATTCCACATGGAGGGATACTCCCTGAGCCTAGACACAAGGGGGTTGGCCTAGGCCCTATCCCAAAGGATATGACAGACTTTGAAGACCCCCCTACAGAAGGCCTCACCCTCCCTGGGGCGCAGAAAGGGGATGGGAAAGGGAGGGCATTTCTTGGGGGGGGCAGGGGGGGGGGGAGGGGGGGGGGGGGGACCTGGGATTAACGTGTAAAATAATCTTCTTTTTAATTAAAAAAAAAAAAGAAGCTTCTATTTTCAGTGGGCAGCAATTCAGAGACTCATAGTATACTGAGAAGTGATTGCTAAATAGTCAGCCTAAATGTGACATCTAAATCAACCCCCACTCCCAAGGTTCAGGGAAGAAGGGGCAGAGATAATTTTGGAGCCAGGTTTTAGGGAGTTCTATGAAATGCTGTCTTCCAGACATGACATGGCTGTTGCCATAAAGAATTTACTGCAGTTATGGTTACCTATACAAGACATACATAAGAGAGCACACCTTTAATTCCAGCACTGGGAGCCAGAAACAAGTGACTCTCTCTGAGGCTAGCCTGGTCTACAGAACTAATTCCAGGAAACCCAGGCTATAAAGAGAAAGAAAGCCTGTCTCAAAATACCAATAATAAAAAGAGAATAAAACATATGTTTCATAACTTGACTTGAAAAATGATATTAATTTTAGCACTCGTTCTCTTATATATTGTCTATGGGTGCTTTCATGCTACAATGGCAGAGCTGACTAGCTGTGATGAAAACATTATGTCTACAGAGCTTGAAATATCGACTATCTGGCTATGAAAGCTTGCCAATATTGATGAACTAAATAAGATTGATACATAGAGTCAATCTCAAATGGCTTCTTTGTAGAAACTTGATGTGGGATGGCCCTCTATATGCTGTGAATATGTTTTATTACCATTGGTTAATAAAGAAGCTGATTTGGCCAATAGCCAGGCAGAATATAACTAGGTGGGAAATCCAAACAAAGATACAGAGAGAAAGAAGGCGGAGTCAGAGAGATGCCATGTAGCCTCCAGAGGATTTAACATGCCAGAGCATTACAGATTAGTAGAAATGAGTTAATTTAATTGTGAAAGCTAATTAGTAATACGCCTGAGCCATTGGTCAAACAATCCTAATTAATATTAAGCCTCAGAGTGGTTATTGGGAACTGGCAGGTGGCAGAGAAACTTCCAGCTACTGAAACTGACAGAATGATCCTACAATTCATATAGAAATGCAAGGGACTCAGAATAACTAAAGCAATGCTGAAAAGGTTGGGGGACATACTTCATAATTTGAGATCACAATACAAACCAGTAATCAAGAGTATACAGTACTGGCAAAGAACAGATACACAGATCAATGACAGAAAAGGAAGTAGAGAAATCTACATGTAGAAAGGTAGTTAATTTTCAACAAAGATGTCAATATGATTCAATGAGAAAAGAACATTCATTCTCTTTAACTGAAGTGCTGGATTCCATATGCAAGAGAGTCAGGACACTACCTTAACCACAAACTCAAAATGGATCAAACTTGAATGTGAGTGCTACAACTCTACAATTCTTAGAAGAAAGGAGCAGTATTTGTGATTTCAGATAATGCAGTGGTTTCTTAAATATGTAACATACTGCAAAGACAAAACAGACAAATTAGACTTTATCAAAATGTAAAGCTTTTGTGCTCTGAAGAATACTATCAAGAAAGTGAGTCAGCCAGGCAGTGGTGGCACATGCCTAGAATTCCAGCACCTGGGAGGCAGAGGCAGGAGGATCTCTGTGAGTTCCAGGACAGCATGGTCTACAAAATGAATTTCAGGACAGCCAGGACTACACAAAGAAAACCTGTCTCAAAAAACCAAAAGAGACAGAGAGAGAGAGAAAGGAAAGGGAGGAGGGAGGGGAAAAGGGGAGAGGAAGGGAGGGACTGACAGAGACAAGAAAGAAAAAGAAAGAAAGAAAGAGAGGGGGAGGGAGGGAGGGAGGGAGGGAGGGAGAAGAGAGAAAAGGAAGTGAGTCAAGGAACTGAGCTGGGTAAAAGTACTGGCTTTACAAGCCTAAATCCTGAGTTTAACTCTTCAGCATTCATGCAAAAACTGGGTGTGGCTATAGGCATGCCTGTAAATCTCACTGTGGTGGGTAGGGACAAGCAGATCCCCAGTGTTTTGGCCAGCCAGCTTCAAAGAAATCAACAGCTTTAGGTTCAATCAAAGACATGGAGAACAATAGAGGAAGACACTCAACATCCTCTTTTGGCCTTTGCATACCCCACACACATTATATACACTATACACCACTCAACACAGACTACACACATGTCATACACTACAGGGGCATATCTATAGTATGCCAGTATCTGTCAAGAGGACCACAGCAAGTTTTGAGGACAACTTGTGCTATATAGTATACTAGATCAGGCAGAGGTACATAGCAAACTCCTGTCTCAAAAATAAACAAAATGAAAAGACAATCCACAGAAAGGGTTTACAAATTATATCTGATAAGGGAATAATACCCAGAACATGAGAAATTGCTATAAATCAACAAGACATGTAACAAAAAAAAAAAAAAAGTGCAAGAATGAAGACTGGGACTTGGAGAACGGGTTCCTGATCTTATTATTGAACTTCCTAGACTTAGTTTATCTTATAATAAACTCTTGCCTTTGCCTGTTGAAGCTTCTGTAGCCAGGTTTTCTATTTGGAGCCAAATGCAATAACTGATAACACCAATGTGGCTTTCCTCTACCCTTTGTCCCTCCCCAACAACACTTACCCTCACTTATTCCACCCAGAAATTATTCCACCCAGAAAAAAAATGTCATCACTAATCCCCACTCAAGAAAGCTTTTGACAACTTCTCCCTGCAGGAACACTCCTCTTCCATACACCCTCCTAGTAGATTCTTGACTCTTTAAAAATGTTTATTCCAAAAAGTCTTCAACTAGATATTACCTAAACATCCTGTCTAAAACAACACTTTAAGCCCTGGCATTTCCTAATTCCCTTCCCTACTTTACTGTACCTCATCACTTATTAAGATACTATCTTACTATATCCCTCCCTAGAATTTTAGCTTCATGAGAACATAACTGTTACCTGCTAAAATCCGCAGCTAGAATAATGCTAGGCAAACAGGAGATGATCAGCAAATATTGGTAAATGAATGACTACAATCAGGAAAAATGAGGTAGGAATCTGAAGAGTGAAAAAGGTTAAAAGTGAATGTCAACTGCTTAAGGCCCATCAGACCCCCCACAGCCAGTCCCAAAGAGCTCCTGCATCCTATACACTGATCAGAGAAAGGAGCTCTCAGCTATTTCAACAGAAGCCCACGCACGGCTGTGACACTAGTTCTCTGTAACACAATGAGAGCCATAAAAATAGAACAGATTTATTCTAAAATTGTTTTGGCTGGTCTCAATTTGGAGGAAAAGAAGGGGGGGGCTTTTAACTGAAGCAAGTGGACAAAAATGCCAAAATTGAAGCTTCCAATCAGTATGTTTGTTACTTATCATTAATGAACACCTGTTTTTCCAACAGCAAAGTATACAGAAACAGGAGATATATGCTTTTAGTTAAAATAAATACAAGCCTAATGCAGCTGATTATGGGAAATATTCCAGTTAGTTCTTGCTATACAGTGAACAAGGTTTTAAAACTTTTAAAAGCTTTCGTTCCAAACTACTTTTGTCTATAAATAATTTAAAAATCTGTCCTAACATATGCCCAGATTTTATCTGAAAGGACACATAATGAGTAACAGTGCTTGCTACTGCGGACAGAGTTAGGCACTCAGGAGAATGGGGAGGGAGATGTTTTACTATTTAACCTTTCCTAACTTTGGAACTGGACCATGTTAATGAATTACTTATGCAAAAACAGATTGAATTTGTGCTTGAAGCAGCTGGAGAGAAATCACCCTACCCCACCCCGCCCCAACCCTCCCTTACAGAAGATATGAGGAATATGTGAACTTGCACAATTCCTAACACCCAGAGAGACAGAGTCGTGTTAAGAATCTAATAATTAGAAAATACTTATACAGCCAGGCATGGTGGCACATGCCTTTAATCCCAGCACTGAAGAGACAGGGGCAGGAGGATAGATATCTGTGAGTTCCAGGTCAGCCAGAGTTACACAGTGAGACTGTCTCAAAATATATTACTTATCTAAAGGGAAAGATTTTTCTACTCAAACCCTCTTTGACCTTATAGAAGAAAAATTTATTCCTATATTTTATTCTATCAAATAAGCCAACATTTTTCCCCAAATCTTCATTTTAAAAAAAAAAAACAACAAAAAACTAGATTCCCAGGGCAGCAAAAAGGATCCTATCAGAAGCACAAGAACAAGAAAAATTACTAAAAATAGGCTGGGAATATAGCTCAGTGGTAAAGCACTTGCCCAGCATGTGTGAGGCCTTAAGCTAAATTCCCAGCAACAAAACAATTTTTTTCCTAAATGAGGATTAATAATGGGATTCTTCAGTAGGTTGTTTCCTGAAAGTTCTCCTTATTAATTATAGAAATCCACATTAGAAATAAAATGTCCAGTTGAAAGGCCTGAACTGCAAGAAAGTACAGGGCTGAACACTCATCGTGGACTTCCAGGAAATGTCTTGATCATCATTTTCTTTTTTAAGACTATTGTTATTCATGGTCTCTCTTCTGTTTCAAATATTCTCACCAGTCACATGCAGCAAGCTTCCGAAGGATGACAAGATGTCAGCAAAGAATTAAATAGGAATTTTTTTCACTGGCACACAGAGTGGCCCATGTTCTGAAAACAAGTCTGACTGTAACACTGATAAAAATCATTCCCTGATGTAAACTGCGCATCACCAACATGTCCATTTTATTTCCAGCAGAAAATATAGGCAATAAATATCAATCGACATACATACATACATACACACACACACATATATATATATATATGACACAGAGACATATAATTTTTATTAATAATCACACCTAAGTAACTCATCATGTACTTGACAACCACAGTTCATCCAATTACCTGCAGGCCAATAGGAGCATACAGAAACATACCTCTCCAGTGATGCTTAAAACCTTGTTTAACTACACTGTAACATGAACTAAACGAAACACCAGGAGAATATAAAGCGCCTGAAGTCACAGGCTGCTTCAAGTGTCACTTGGAAAAAGAATATCCAATTTGGATGGTTCACATTCCCCCACCCTCAGCACTCCCGCTGAGGCCTCCTAAAAGCATTATGTCATCCACTATCCGCACATCACTCGCGCTGTCCTGCGCTCCCAGCATCTAGGCCTACCTAAGGAGGCGACCCGGGAGACAGGTCTCGCCCTCTCCAAGTTCTCTTGGAGTCATGTGAGCCACAGCCCCAGTTTCTCCCGAAGACAGAAACAAGTTCGCTCCCTAACTTCACAAGCTAAGAAGGGCGAAAGCACTGGGGGCGAGACGCCCCTCGGCGAGTCCGCCGCAGGCCTGACCAGGCTCTGCCTCCAGTGAGGAAAGCTAAAGACCCCCACAAGGCGAGGACCCGGGCCAGGAAGAGGACTGGCGACCCTCTCTCTGGGCAGGGAATCGCGCTGGCTGTCTCCAGCACGCAGGCCAGGGGAGCGGCCCAGGGCAGGAGCTGCGGCGC